GCAGTCCTGCAGACTGCTCAAATTATCGTCCAATTCGCTTGCTCTCGCACAGCATGAAAATTTTTGAGCGAATTGTTGATAAGCGTCTTCGTGATAATGTCCAGCTCTCCACCAGTGTGGCTTCGTGACTGGACATCGACGCCATACATGCCGCTCGTCTCTTGCTAGAGAAACATCGGAAGAAGCATGTTCACCTAGCCTTCCTTGATCTGGAGAAGGCATTCGACCGTGTCCCACGTGAAGTTATATGGTATGCCTTACGGCAGCACGGCGTTCCCGAAGAGCTGATTGAGTGGGTACGCATCCTGTACTTCAGCCCGACGAGTCGAGTGCGAAGTCCAGCAGGCATTTCGATGGGGTTCCCCATCACAGTTGGGGTGCACCAAGGCTCAGCACTTTCCCCGCTGCTCTTCGTCACAAACGCCATTTCACAGGACCTCCAAAGGCCGAATCCCTGGACTACGCTGACGATGTGATGCTCGCTTGCGAGGATAAGAATGGTCTCGAGGAACAAGTGCAAGCTTGGACTGAACGGTTAGCAAACTTCGGGCTCAGATTGAACGTCAAGAAAACCGAGTACCTGACGACTGACCCGGACGAGTCTGGTTCCCTTAGGGTCAGCGGCAGTGTGCTCACGCGAACGACAGCGTTCAAATACCTCGGATCAACAATTACGTCTGACGGTAGTCTCGACTCAGAAGTGAGCGCACGTGTGAGTGCAGCCTGGTCTAAATGGCGGTCTATGACTGGCGTTCTCTGCGACAAGACGATACCAGATCGCCTCAAATCGAAGATCTATAGGACCGTCGTTCGACCAGTCGCGATATACGGTGCTGAATGTTGGCCTACGACCAGAGAAGTTGAAGCGCGCCTCGGAGTCATGGAGATGAAAATGTTGCGATGGACCGCCGGTGTCACGCGTATGGATCGCATACGCAATGACGACATAAGGAAGAGATTCGGTGTAGCTCCTGTGGCCGAGAAAATGCGCGAAGCTCGCCTTCGATGGTATGGTCATGTTCTTCGCGCGAGTTGTGACACCGTCCGTAGGATTGGTCTTGAGCGGACATAAAGATAGTTGGCGCACATCCCTCAAGCATTCAATCGGGAGAAGTGGCGTGACAAAATAAGATGAGCGGACCCGCTACAGAGCGGGACAAACGCTGAGGAAGAAGGAGAAGTTCGGAGGTTCTTACAGCTACGTCCCTCGTAATCACAAATTCCACACTCAAGATGGTGACTGAACTCGTATCATCAAAACTCAGTCGATGAGTTGGAGTTAACAAGTCGTTCGCAGTGAGCCCATTATCAGCTCATTAGATGAGCCGACAGATCGATGAGTGGAAAGCTTCATAAATCCTTCAAAGTTGTCTTACTCCGATAATTGCTGTTCAGCGGCGCAGTGCGCGCTCCAATGGTTATTACAAGTGTGCTGTGTTACGGGCAAAAGTCAGACCCAGGCGGGACTCGAGCCGGCATCTTCCGCTTAGCGTGCGTTATCGTTGTTCATTACGCACGTCGGACTGAGTGCAGTGGCACAAAAAGCTGAGAGAGTGAGAGCTGTTAAGTAGTGTAATGGATAACACCCGGTAAGCCGGAGATACGGCCTTCTAAGCCGGGGATATGGGTTCCAGTCGGCTTGGGTCTGACTTGCCTCCAACTCAGCACTCTTGTGATAACACAATGCGATGCATGGGAAAACGGCCGTACCTCTCCATAGCAAAAGACCAGCAAAATGAACACGACGACGTTAAGCGTGCTATAGATTGAAGAATCATACCAACTAGATCCAGGAACTATCGCATTGTTCTACTGGCACATCTTTGTGAGCTTTTCTTGAATACTCCCGATTCCCTTTAGTGGCGATAACTCGAACAGGGTGAATGTTGATACAGAAGCATGTGAGTAGTGTAGATCGCTTAGAAGTGGACTCACAGAGAGCTGGTCACCACTCAGTCTGGTCGCTAGAGGAGCAGATTGTGGATAAAGAGGAAGTGGACGGTTTGTTTGCTTTGAATAAATTTAAATAAATAAACTTAGCGCAGAAGTGCTCGTTTTGTTTTTCACGACTGAAAACAAAAGAATTGGGGCATCATTCTACCACTATCAATAACCGCATCAACAACCAGAGGTCTAGCCAACTTGCAGGAACACCCTGGGTAGAGTGGTTGCAGCTCTGACTCCGGGTATCATCTGAGGATGACTGCAGTACACAAATCGTCGATGGGGCTTTGAAGATGCAAAAATAAAAGTAAATAACAGTAATGGCAACGGACTCCCAATAAAAAAAGTATAACTGAGAAAAAGCGACCCCCCAACGGGAGCAATCACCGTCTGGAAGTGCATTTTGATGAGAAGCACAGAGACAATCAAATGCGCTTTATGCGCTGTTCACAACGAAGACGTAATGTTATGAAACGCGATTGCGACAATACTTTCAGAGAGAGGAAGTGCCAGCGGAGAGTAGAGTGGCAGAGAAGCAGAGTGAAAGAAATATTTTGAAGAATGAGCTTGAAGCCGAGAAGGAAAAGCACTTACCGGCAGCGACGTGCAGAAACTCCTCCGATGTTGCTTTGTACACTTCAATGTACCTGAAAACAACCAAAGTTCAGATATTTTTAACTGAAAATTTTCACGTGACCGATAAGGGAGGATCCACGCACTCATAATGTATTGCGAATAATGTTTTTACTATTAGCCTCCAGTACATTATTTTCCATGGCGTTTTTCGCAATCTACTTTTATTTTAATTTGTTTCTTACATTTTGCGAATGTAGTCGCTGTTTCTCAATTAGGCATACCGTACCATTACATGGTGGATGGATGTTACACTTCTCCTAGATTTGGAGAGGGCGCGGCTGCGCTCTTCATAGTTACGTGGAGTACCTTATGAAGATACTTCCATATGAGAGCACTGTCATCGTTTCTTGTGCCAAACAAAGAAATGATTGCAATCGGCACAAAAGGGCAGTGTCCCACCAAAACCGCCATTTTCCTGTGAAGTGGACCACGTCCTGCCCAACTTCTGGGATGTAGAATGTATTTATTCACTCCTCCAGAGTCCACAAGGTTTTTGAAAAGTGTCACAGGTATCGAACCTTGGCAGACCTTTTTTGCAGGGACTTCCAGCTAATGGTATTTTGTCTGATTTGGCACCGCAACGCGCCGTACGGCCTTTACGCGCCTGAGAAGTTTTTCTGGCGCTTACTGCATGCCTTCGAGCCACAAAAACGGCACATCCTTGCTGGTTGTGCATATAGGTGATTCACTTATGGAGAGCATTGAACTTCCTCTTTAATGGCCATTTGTGTCTCTAACTTAAGGAAAGTGGAATATGTATAATAGAAGTATTCTGCTCATGGAAACCTGCGTATGAGACTTCCAGTTGCCACCCGGGCAATTCCCGAAATAGGTGGGCCAGTATCCTGACAACGGCTGAGTAGTTTCTTCCGCTCGCAGAATATTAAAAAGGCCCTAACTTTATGCCGAAGAATGGTCAAAAACCAAGTGCTCAGATATTAAACTCAAGTGAACCCGCTGCATACAGGAGGCCAAAAAAAAGACTTTTTTTCCGCGACTTTCGAAGCGCTATGACTTACACTTCATTAAATTCTTATCGGACATTTTCTACCACATATTAAAGAGCATATTAAATACTATCATGACACTCCGCCACAGCCTTCTGGAGGAGCGCCATCGAGAGATTCTGCCACGCTGAGTTCAGCGAGATCGTTGATTTCTCCGCCACTGTAGACCACCCTATTGAACTCCGCCCGAACCAGGTAATTGAGGGGGTTTAGGTCAGGTGACCTGCTTAGATATTCCACCTTCTTCAGGTACTCAACGCCCTTCCATTCCAAGTAGGCAAGAGTTTTCCCAACGCCCTTCGATTCCATGTGGTGTCACCCAATCCTGTAGCAGTACAAAGTTTCCAAGAAGGTACGGGCGACGACATGTGGAGAGGATATTCTTCTCGAGTTGCTCGATGTAACCGCCAGCGCTCACCTTTAGTCCGGGGCCCCGAAGAAAATATCGGTCTCTCCATTCCAGGTACGTCCGGTCCCCACCATCAACTGGCGCCTTGGCGACTGAGGTGAAGATGATGTCCTAGACCGTGGCGACGTTGTCGGAGCTGCTCGATGTTGGAGGTTCGAGAGTACTGGTCTCCAGGTAGCTATCCATGGGTGACTCCATACTAGAAGTTTCGCAGCTGTTTGGAGGTGACATTCCAAAGGTCTTCTCCAGTCAGGCTGCGACTGGAGATGACTTCATATTTTGGTGTACATGAAGGTGATGGGCGAGAGCCAGCTCCTGCTTATCTTGGGTATCTTCCGCCCTGGTACTCGTATCCACGTCCTCTGTCTGGGCTGCGAAAACTTTGCTGATTGACTCGGTCGAAATGTCTTTTTTTTGCCCCCCCCCCTGTAGAAGGGAACTACTTCTCGATAAATCAACGTGACGAGATAATAACAAACCGCTCAGGGGTGGGCAGGACTGGGGAGGACAGTTCAGTGGACGATGTTATGACCTTCCACTGGAATGGCTCGAAGAGGAAATCTCCCATAAACTCGGTTCATGAAGTATCATGGAGAAATCTCATCCGGAATTGATCTTCCCTATTACTCAAACCCACATAG